CTCTTTCCATCACAGTGAGGTCACCCCTCTCAAGGAAGCCATTTGCAGTAGCATCCTTTCAATACCACAGCACTCTGCTTTCTACAGTATAACCTACTTTGACCTTGACATACACTGTAGGTGTGACACTGGCTAGTGTGGATCTTCATGTGCATCTGAGCGATTGGCTATATTGTTTTCCAAACATGCCCAAAACCCACCCATTCATCCATTTATATCCACTTATCCAAGATCAGGTCATAGTGGCAACAGGTTCAGCAAGGTAGCCCAGATGTCCTACTCTCCGGCAACGTTTTCCTGCGCCTCTGGTGGGATTCCGAGGCGTTCCCAGGCCAGATGACATAAATAATCTCTCCAACATGTTCTGGGTCTACCCCAGGGTCTCCAACCAGTTGGATATGCCTGGAAAACGTCCAAAGCAAGGCACCTTGGAGGCACCCTGATCAGATGCTCGATCCGCTGCTTCATTTGGTGCAAAGAAGCAGCTGTTCTACTCCAAGCCCCTTCCAGATGCCCGAACTCCACCCACTATCTCTATGGCTAAGCCCAGCCACCCTGCAAAGGAAACTAATTTCAGCCACTCGTATTCACAATATAATTCTTTCGGTCACTACCCACAGCTTGCGACCATAGGTGAGGGTTGGAGTATAGACTGACTGGTTAATTGAGAGCTTTGTCTTTTGGCTCAGCATCTTCTTCTTCACCTTGATGGTCTAGTACAATGTCCACATTACTGCTGATGCTGCCCCCTATCCACCTGTCAATCTCACGTTCAATCTCAAACAAGACCCTGAGATACTTGAACTCCTTCACTTTGGGGCAGCAACTAACTCCCAACTCAAAAGGAGCAGTCCACCATTTTCTGGCAGAGCACCATGGCCTCAGACTTGGAGCTGCTAATAAGTTTGACTCATTCAACACTACATGTAGACTGTGGTCTGATTCTCAGGCATACAGCTCAAGGTACAGTGTATTCAAAGTTCTAATTTTGGCAGCAGGATTTGCTCGATATTTTTGGAGACATTTCACCTCTCAGTGTAGAAGTTTCTTCATTTCTCATTGGTGGGAAATCCATTGTACGGAGTCATTAGCTTTGTAGTTTCTCACCTTAAATATATTGTGGGTTTTTGGAATAGTGCCCCCACATCCCCACATTTACTCCCAAAGCATCAACAGTGAGACCATTTGGGGATTTGGTGGAACTATGACTTTATCTTAAAGTGCCAACTTCCATCCTTGTAAACCTTTTGCACTTTGAGCTGGGTTTGCATATGCAGTCACATCCTCTGTATCCTCAGTCAGCGACTGGCTATAGTGGATGGCCCCCTTCCAGTTGTTAAATTGTCCCTGCGGTTCCCTGCCAAATTATTTGGCTCTCCTTGTGATGGCATTGAATTGTTTTCTAAATTGGACAACAGTTCTTATAGGACCTGGGCAACTGTTATTAACCAAATACGTTATCTCTTCCCAGGCTAATGTAACATCATCTACCCTCTCTGGCTTGTTTACAAGGTTGCATATTGGTCTTGGTGAGTCAGCACTTCTTGCACCTGAACAAAAAGTATATTCTTGAGAAGAACTTTTTTGTGTGTGGTGAATACTCCTGACTATTCTCTACTGTAGCTTCCATATTTAAATAGAAAGAGCAGCCAGGTGTAGAGTCTGCATCTTTTAAAGGAAAGAATAACAGTGTATCTGATTCCTAACCCCCGCCTGATTTCCAGCTGTGCAGCTGGTGCACTGCACAACATGGCTCCAACCTCCAAAATACCAAAAGTCCATCACCCTACCACACATGGACAATGTTTTGCACCAGTGTGCCGTGATTTAGTAAAGTGGGACCCCAGATATAGATGTGGTCATGCAGAACAATTTCTATCAATCTAACAACATTTCCAACATCATTTGTCATTATATAATCTTTTATTCATCATAATAATTCTCACTATCAAGACAAATGAGATCTTTTTGTGCTAAGGAAAGAGTTCACATAATGAAAAGGTGGCCACATAGATCATGACAAATCATAAGCGATACATACTGATTCAGATTGGTCCAGTAGTCCTGCCTATCAGCTTTTTATATCTTGCAATGTTCCAGGGGGAAAAACATTCAGAAAAAAATGTCATGAGATGCAGAGAGCACATCTTACTTTGTGAAACTTGGTTTATAGAAAGAAGCACTAAGGTTCCACTCTCATCATGTGGCCACATTAATGTAAATGAATTAATTGCATTAGGTTCTGGGGATTTAGACAACAGTGATTCTTTAGGTGGTAAGCCTCCAGGTCAAGTGCAGAACTGATTTTCATGGTAGTGGAGCAATCAAGAGCATATCAGAATCAGAATCAGTTTATTGGCCAGGTGTGTTGGACACACGAGAAATTTGACTCAGGTACATCGGCTCTCAATGTGCAAACAGTAAATCAGCATAAGGCTGTGTAATATAACAAAATAGCAGTATTAACATCAACAACCAGTGCAAGCAATGCAGAAAAAGCAGTATAAATAGACAGTAAACAATGCAGACAACAAGGGAATGTTCATTGAAATGAGATAATTAGGGATAAAAATAGAGTACTTAAAACAGAGTACTAGAGACCTGTACGAGTCTGTATAATCTGTACAATGTAAATTTACAGGTATTGCACTGAGGGTTATTACTTACTACCCTTAGGGTTAAGTTCACTATGTAATTGTAAGGCAAGGAAATCAGTTAGCAATTAATATAACAACACACACACACATCTATCTATAAATACTGACTTAGTAATTAATTTGGATAGTAAAAAGTATTGTCCACTTTTACACCACAGTCCCAGCTGACTGTGAAAGGATTTCATCATATTACAAAAAAACATTGCTGCTATTTACTAATAAGCTTTCCCAAACAAACTGTGAATCCTGACCCTGGATTAACTAATTCCTCTGTGCCAAAGACCTCCACTGTTGTCCAAAAGCTACTAAACATGCAGCAGTGAGCCACAACACTGCACTTGGTGACATGCTTGTTTTTCATGAAGTGTGTGTGGTACATACTGTACTTTCAAAATGTCAGTATTAAGTGCTTATATGAATAATACAATTTACCTGCATACACGCATAATAATGTCCTAATGTACATGTGCCAGTAAGCCACATTTACATCCAGTGCTTACATTTTGAGTAAATGTACTCAAGTTTATACTTGCTAAGAATAAGGAGTGTGTTCTGTTGCTCTTGTCCTCCTAAATGGCATCTTAATATTGGTATATTGTGCATGAAGTACACTAATTGCAGCTTGTGGCTATTAAAAAATATTTTCAGTGACTACTGTATAAACATTCAAGAAAGACACGCCCTATTTTTGTACAAACTCTCACCGTATCATTATCAGTCCCCTGCATTAACATCGCCCTTCTCTGTCACATTATGTATTGTTTAATGTTGACAGCTAAGCTCAAATTGATCTAACATAATTAGTTTAAAACAGGTCTGTTAAGTACACTGTCATAATTTTTTACTGCCACTGAGTATCTGGGTTTGTGGGGGAAGACATGTTTTCTGTCAGTGCAATTATAGCTGAATTGTGTTCTTAGTTGAAATTTCATTACAATCAATTTTAAGAACTGATTACACTTCAAATATGTATAATTGTAGTTAGCAATATGAGTAGAGATATTCAAATTATGCCAGATTGTTCCTTATCCTTTAACCAGTACATGAAGCAGTATTTAAATAATAAAATACTGAATTAATTTTAGGCATCATTGGAAACTGACATAATAATTTTAAACAAGAACTCCCTTTAAGTATGCCACTGATTATTTTAACTTTCACAATCAAGTAGTTCATCATCTATTTAACAGGAAAAGATTATGCCAATTAAATTTTCTCTGCTCTTTTATGACGTGTTATTGTCTAATAAACCATGAAAAAGGGAAAGAATTTTTACACAGTGTAGCACTTGATAACTCAAAGTGCTTCACAGCCAGGGGCCAAAGTTCTTAAATAAAATTACTGATGAAAATCATTTCTTTATCAGTAAATAAGAGACACAATTTCACTGCAAAGTTGATAATAATGTTCATAGTCATTTTATTGTACTGTTTGAAATGATATATTTTTCCAAGATGTGCTGATTTTCTTTTTCTGCAACTGAAAATAAATAGGAAGTTATGTGTATTTAACCTGTTTAGCATATTATTACATTCTTAGCATGACATCATGTAATTTGCCCACTCCAGGCAGGGTAAAGTTCCTACAGACTGCTACTTAGCTGATCTGTGTGTCCATTTCTTTGTTTTTTTTAATGCATTGTCTCTAAAATATTTATAAAACACAGGGTCACGTTTAGTGTTATAGCCCCACTGTGTAGTTCTAAGGGTTGTAATACAATTTGTATTAACCGTCTCAAGCATCTTTAGTGGAACCAAAGTGGCATCTTATTTTGTGTTTGATGAAAAAGGCAACATTTTGTACCCCATTGTTTTTAACAATTCATGAAGATGAAAGTCAATAACTGAAAGTTTCCCTGAGCAGTAATTGACACCACTGGGTAAAGGGAGATGGTGTTCTTCCATATTGGTGGCTGGATGTCATAACATATCATAAAGCAGCCTTCTAACCTTGTCAGAACTTATCATGACACCAATTAGTTAAAAAATAAAATAAAATAAAATAGACAGCCACACAGCTGAGGATGTACTTCATGCTCATCTGCAAAAGGGTAGCAGTCCTTGTGTGGAGAGGCACAATCTGTGCAACTTTCTAAAAACTCCAGGGAGGCATGAAGTGTGAACAATTTGAGAAAGAGCAGAAAATAAATACACATCATGTCAGAGTAAAGTGACAATGACAAAGGCACTATCTTATTTGTTCAGTACAACACAATTAACCTAACTCTATGACAGCCTCTTGTACTGCTAAAATAGACCTTGTCATGTAACAGCTCCCTTCTTTTTTCTGTCTCCCTCCCTGCTTCCCTCTTCTTTTCTGTCCTATCAGGTCTCCACACAATGGAGCGAGAATGAACAGAGAGCGGCTTAAAAAAAAGCATGAACTGGAGGTTTATTGAGGTCATCTGCTTCCTGTTTATATGGGACCATATAACAGTTCAGTCTTCCCGCCAGGACCCGTTGTCCACTGAGCAACATGTCACCAAACAATATGACTGGCTCATCTCTGACCGCGGACCTTTCCACCACTCTCGAAGCTATCTGTCCTTTGTGGAAAGATTCCGGCAAGGATTTACGACCAGATATAAAATTTATAGGTGAGTTCACTTTCAGTCTGTGTACTGATGCCACACAGGCTTTTAAGAGAATCTCTGTTTTAATGGTTTTCCTATTTGAGATTTTAGCTGCAAAAAGCTGCCCAATATACATTTTTAACCTACTAAATGGGTATTTTTTATATTTACTTGTGGCCAATCTCAGCACCATGAACTTCTTTTTCTTATATATCAATGAAGTATTCTACTAGGATTCCCACTCTCTTTCCTTCTGCTTTGTTGACGTCCAAGTCTTTTGTACCTCACCGCCATCAGTAATAGGCACTGTGCTTGCCGTTACTTCTAAAGAAAGTATTGTTAGGTGCTGTGCACAATTTGAAGTCTGTACCAATTTGCACAGATAAAGGGGAACTTCCAAAAATTGACTAGCAAGAGAAAGATTTCCTGTGCTTTATTCTTTTGTATGGCTCAAGCTCCAGAAAGGTCAGATCCTACATTCCCCTTAATGCAATTTGATTGTGCTTTTCATTACACCGTCCCTGCCTAGAGTACACACGTCTTCAAACTGCAGTATTCACCCTTAGCTTGTAACACAACTTTCTGCTATAAATTAGAAGGCTCCAGTCCCAAACCAATTAACCCATATGACATTGCCATGGTTATATTTTACAGTTATACAATTATTTTTTACAGGTAAATGGATCATGATGTGTTATATTACTGGAGTTTCACTCAATGTGGACACTCCTGACCTTTGTAGCTATCAATTAACCCAATACATTGCACATTCTTTGGCATGTAGCATGACACATGAATAAGTGTGTAAATGATTCACTACCAAAAATGAAAGGATTTAGGGTCTAAAGGGTGTCAAGTCACATTAAATTATAAGGGATTAATTATATTTGCCCATCATTCATTTGTACTTCATTACTGTCAAATTTCATACATACCAATATACATACTAACCACTTCATATTTTATTAGTT